TGGGGGAGATTTCCAAAATGATAAAAGGTGAAATGTAGCCTTTACAGATTAACTAAACTTTAGTTATCCTTGTTTTTTAAATTCCTGATGTGGTAAAGTATGTTCACCTTTATATCAGAAGATTTCTCCCCCTTTGTTTCATTTCTATTCTCTACTCTTTGATCTTTGTTTCTGAACCTTTTCCTATTCTTGTGGTTTTTTCCTTTCAAATTGTCTCACCATTTAGCATTTGACCATGGCACTTTTGGATGCTGCCAACTTAACTATGCCTGTGGCATATTATACCTGCATATTAATGTGGTGGATCTGCTGTTCAATTACACAAAAGAGGACCATTATGTTTGAGCTGTTTTATCAATGCCACTATGTATTTACCTAGAACTGTACTGGACTTCTCTGCTGAATATCAGAGTACATGTGAGAGAAATATGTGTCTCTCTTGCTGCCATCCATTACCATGATGACTTACTTCATCATTCTTTTGTCTAGACTTTTCTTCCCATTTACTGTAACTTTCTTTTAGCTGGCTACATTTGCCTGAGTTTTTGGAAAGTATGTCTTGGTTTTGTTTTCCACTATTAAATTAAATTTCCGCAGGACCCTTAGTGCTATTTTTACATTCATCCTATTTGCAACTGCTCTCAGTCTAGCATATCTGTCTTTTTCTCCCTTTGTCCTCTTCCAAACACCTAGCCCTGTTATTTGCTCTTATGGCTGATATAAAACTGGCTTAATAAATACTTTTAAAAAGCAATGCAGTCAGGAAAAACACCAGGGCTGGCAGCCTGAGAAGCCCAGAAGGTTACCCATCATGGTGGTATGGGGGATGCAGGGCTGGCATTCCATGCTAAGTCAAGCTGAATGGGAAAATCCAACTGAGGGACACCTGAGGAAAGCTCTGTTTGCCTGCAGTTCAGGAAAGGCTACACAGACTTGGAAGGGAGCTTCTTGTATAGAGTACATTTCTAGCATCCATTAATTCAAAGAGGTGAAGAGACGTTCTTCTGTGTAGAATGTGTAGAGAGAAATAATTAATACAGAATATCCTCAAAAGCACCCCACCAAGTTACAAGTAAACTATTCAGGAGACGGGCATGCAATGTCTGCAATTCCATTTCTGACTCTTTGTAAAAAGAAGCTAAAATCACAGTTGGCAATGGTTCTGAAATGCAGCAGTAATCCATAAATACTCCTTAATTTTCCTGTCATTGCAGAATTAAGCTACTTTCAGCTCACACAGATCTTACCAGGTGTGCAAAATTGATGTCATTATAAGCCATCAGGAAATACCCACAGAGACCTGTAGCAACATTTAGAAGTTTTGTTAAACAGCTGTGTGTTATAATTGATTTGTATTATTTAAAACAGCTAAAGCAAGTTATCACCAGATGTAGAAAAGGGATGACTGAAGACTCCAGGGAGATTTAACTCAGAAGAAAGCCAATCACAGGAACTTCATTTGAGCATTTTAAGATTATTACTAGAGGAAGTGCAATTAAATCATCACCATTTATCAATTATCATTATAAAATACTATGCAACCTTATCATGTTCATTTATTTATGAGAAGGTAACTAGTTGACTTCTGCTTTTTGCAATAAAAATAATCTGGTGAGTAAAAATATCTGAAGATGCCTTCTCTGAAAATGAGCGTGACTTTCCACAATAATCAAAAGTAACTAAAAAAGTTCAAATTTTACGTAAAATTTGTAATTGCCAAAAAGCCAAATTCTTTAGAGCTTAGGCAATGTCTCAGTTCCTGATCTCAGATATATTTTACCACAGAGAGTATAAGCCAAAATATAGTTGTATCAAAAATGTGCACAGGCATGGCACCCACATTTCATAAAATACATGGAATATAAGTCCCAAAAGATCCTGGATCTGGAAGAAAAAAAGGCAGTATGACTTTCTTTTCCTAATCTGCCAACTATTGAATCAAGGTGCAAAATCAGCCCTATTTAAAAATTAAGTAACATGTGTGGACAGTGGTAAGCTCAATTTTTCTTCCTAATGGTGGATTGCTTGTAGAATTTAAAATCTGTATCTGTTTTGGAGCAAAATCTTAAACCTTTTCTCTCTGCTGTTCTTGTGTACTGAGAATTTGAGCCTGATTTGGTGAGTTTGCCCAGCGACTTGCATTATACGATCTGTGTCCCTGCAGGCAAAGCCTAACCCACATAACAAAATGGGTCAGCAGAAAAGCAGAAAGGGAAGAGAAAACTGTATCTCAATTCAGAACCCCGATTCATTTGAGGGGAAAAATACTCTTTTTCTTGTAGACCTAACTCTTGTTTTGATCTGAGGCTTGCAGGCTAGTGCTTACAGTATGTTTCTATTATCTTTAATAATTCCTTTGAGAATACACTGATTTCTACTGCTGTTTTATATTTGGACTGGAATATCCATCTCTCATTTACAAGGGGAAGTGTTTGTTGCACCAGTGGTTGCTGGCACTGAAAATACGACAGCGTTCACACTGCTAATTGTACTGGTGTTTTCCTCTGCTCTGATTCAGCTCGAGAGATGTACATTTCCACAAACCATGCATTCCTTTTTCTTCTTATCACTTGACTGAATGACCATAAGCAAATGCACCCTCACTCCGTGGTGCCTTTCTGCTTTCATCTAAAATTAAAACTGTAGACCTCTTAAAGCTGCTTTCCCGGAGGCTCTCTCCCACAGCCATGTGGGAAAGTACATTTCCAATCCAGGAATGCAGCTGGGGCCTTTGGACCAAGTTCAATACTGATGTAAAGCAGCCTAACCTCACTGAGGTCAGTGGAATTCAACGGCCTTGAGCCACAGGTACATGGTCTTCAGGGACAAGGCGTACATACAAATGGCATAGAAAAAAAAGTAAAGCAATTCCAAATTACGTAGTGGGATTGCTGGAGGATCTTAACTTCTCTGGCTTCTGCTACCTGCCAGCAGTTCCAGTATTGTGCTATCAGCCTGAGGTACAATCTATATTACTCTAGGATAAACAGTTTCACTTAGTTTGTAATCTCCTTATTTAATGGAAAGTCACCTTGATGTTATGTTCAATAGTATTTTGCTGCTGTAGCTTTGCTAATTTCTCCTTACATCTTAGTTTGTGCTTGTCACTGGACTCACATTGGCTGAACCACCTCTGGAGACGTGTCACGAGACAACAGGTTCAGCACTCCAGACATTTTACCACCCATAAAACCTGTTTCTGCAAGCCTTTGTGTGTACGTATCTCACACACATCTCTAGTTATTAGATGCAGGACAGTTTTACTTTGCTGTTCCTTAAGAGGCAAAAATAATCTCTGGGTGGGAGTGACCTGGTTTTCCTTTTGGCTTCCACCACTCTGATTTTACACATTCCAAACATATTGTTTATGCTTTATTCTCAGTGGTATTGCATTATAATTTATTACCTATACAGAGCTGTAGGTTTTTGCACTGCTTTGCAGCCGACTAGAAAGAGACTGTGGTTTCTACAGAGGAACTTGAACGTGGCTTCAGGCCACAGTATAATGTGAGCGTAAGAGAAGGCACACCACCTCTGGAGTGCACATAGCAGATTCTCCTGTACATTTTTGCAGGTGGGAATATAAACTATCCACAAGCCAGAACAGCTCAGCTGGGAAATACTAGAGATGTCAGCCCTAAAGGATACCTAGCATCTGATGGCCGGGTTACTGTCCATTAGGAATGCAAGAAGTTGGATTGGGAAAGTTAATTGAATCCTCTGCCTTTCTATGCAGAAACAGTCGTGATTTAGCTACAAATCTGAAACTTCAGCTATAAATCATAAAACTTTACCGAAAAATCTGAATTGCAATACTTTCCTGTGCAGAAAATCAGTTATTTGCTACCATTATTTTATTAAAACCTAATTTTCTCATCTTCATTCTGCAGCAGACAAGTCAGGTAATTAATACTTTACGTAAAAGCATGTATTACGAGAATCTGCAAACTCACAACTGGAATTCAGATATGCACAGCGAACATCAGAAAACCAATGCTTGCTGGGTTCTCAAGGAGCTATTATAATATAAATAACAGTCCATGGCTGCAAAAACATGAATGCTGCTTGTGTTCCCATGATTGACTAACATCTACAAATAGGCATCCTGTAATTAAATTGTATTAGTTGAATTAAGGAAACACCTGTAGAACTCAGCTGAGGTTATATCCCTGTTGTGCCAGCTGCTGTGGTTCAGAGACCCATGTACCTGGAAACAGCTAAAATCAAAAAGTCAAGGAAGGAAAGGGGAGGAAGAAAGGACACATTAGTATCTTTGTCTAATGATAAAAAATTCACACCCAGAGAGTCTCTATTCTTTGTCCGAACTTGCGCTGGAGGCCTGGAGCCAAGGGAAGAAACCAGAGCAACCAACTCAGCTCTGAACCATCTCTCACTCTTCCTTGAACAAGTGTGACTGTTTTCAAGAAAGCCAGCATCACAAGTCTGGGAACGGTTGCTGAAATGATCTGGTGACTTTAAAACCACTTTAAATAAAAGTGATTTGAATGGCTCTAAAAGAAGGCAGTGATATCGCAGTTTACTAACCTGTTTCCTCTTGTAAAACACAGCATTCATGAACTACTGATTCTTAACGACATTAGTCGGCAATAACTTACTATTTGATTGAGAGAACAATTTTCTCTCCTTCAATCCTAAGGATTGCAAGTCTATTTAAAATTGAACATCACACAGTCTTTTTTGGTAATTCGATTAATAGACAATCTGTGAAATGTTACGCTAATATATTTTACTTACATAAATAAGTCTACTTTTGTATTTACCCAAATCCATGATTACTCAGAAATTGCCTGAAGTTTTCAGGATTGGCTTTGGAAAAGTATTTTAAATGAGAGATACTGTCACATTAAGTCTTACAGTCAACACCTACATATCCTTCAAAATCCAGGATTAAAACTATTGTTGGTAACTGGCTCAGCACAAGCTCAGTTAGACTTTTTTATTTTACTTGTGTCCAGGAGGGGAATAAGGCCATTGAGGATTCAGGCATATATTGCATTCATCAGTTTTGTAAAGGACCAGTGGTTTCTCACCTGCTGTGTAATGGTGTCCCAGGGCCCCTCCAGCAGACGAGCCTGGTAGCATGCATGAACACTTTCCCATATTTCATCCAGAGTTAAAGGTCTTCCATCTGTGAGGGGGAGAGACAACCACCCACAGTCAAAGCTCTTAAGCATGCTGTATCTTTAATACAGAATAGCAAAAGTAAATCTGAAAATACTGATTATCTGGAAACAGATGGGAAAAATAACAGGACAACATGACTAAGCCCCTTCTGGCCCCAAAACTCCAAAACAGTGTTGCTCAAATCCTGACTGAAGGAGCACACAAAACTGCCCTAAATTCCCTGTTCAGCTTTCTTCTCTGTCACCTGAGAGTAACAATTTACTGATCCGGTTGTAAGGTGTGAAGTTAAACTAGTTTTGTAAAATAATGCTTGCATAATATCAATTTAAAACCACAAAATAGTGTCATGAACAGTTATCTCACGTAAATACAGGCAATTCATAGTGAGAGTAGAAAAAATGTAAGGAACAAAATTCTGCAGATAAAAGTTTACTGCATTTTGGTAACCTACATGCCCGTAATTTTTTCTTGAGCTGCATTTATATAGCATTGTTGCATCAGATTTTTTGTTGTGATGTTAGAATTATGCCAAGATGTTAGTGTCAACCACTTAAAAAATAAGCATGTCAATTTTTCCTGAATACTTGTTTTTGGCAAACAGGAATACAATATTTTGATATACTTTCAATAAGTAGCTTCATCTTGGCATTCATTAGGTGTCAGAAACCATTATCCTGTGATAAATAGTTTTATTCTACTGACATTTTCATGTCTGTAAAATGAACAAGATTTATTCACCCAATTAACATTTGAATGCCATGCTTAGATATAAGTTAAAACCAGCTGCCTACAGCCTCTGTTTTATCTTATTTTCTGCACGTATTTATAAAAAAGCACCAAATTCTGAACTACATAAGCAGAAGCATGTGGCAAATAAAGTATCTGAGGGGGTAACAGCATATTAACTAGCTATATTATGCCATCCTCATGAACGTGTGACTTGTGTGCTGTGCTGGAGATATAGTCTAACATTTACTAAGAAATTAGTTACACGAGCATAAGTTAACTTTAGAAGGATGTATTTATGCTCAGATCATCTGTGTGTGGGTAATAAGAGATGCCATGGACACTTGCAATTTTCTGTTTTCTATTCAACCTGCAAAGACAATGCAGAGAAAGTCCAAATCTAAAATCTAGAACAAGACACATTCTAATGCAAATTTTGATTTGCCACTCTAGATTTTGTTCTGTACACCTTTCTTCGTATCTGTGAATTTTTATAGTAACATTTGAGCAAACTCAGATCGTACACATGGAATGGACTACTCTGACTCTAACCGTTAATCTCATTTACAGAAACGATCAAATATTGTTGAAGCACTAATCATATTACAGTTAAAATTGAGTTTTGTCTTTATCTCATGGATTTTATTACTTCATGCATGAGAAGCAGTATATCGTCCACCGTATTTCAGTATAGATTTATTTTCATTTCACAGAAAAATACAAACACATCCAAACTGAAAGTTTCACTTCACATTGGAGTGAGATCACAGACAGTAAAATACTTAAATAATTAATATAGAGTAATTGCAGTGTTTCACACAGGAACAAAAAATCGATCTAGGCATTCTGATTATGCACTTATATATTGAAATATGCTTAGATTTAAATTAAAAAAAACTGCACTATTTTAATATATTTCACTCAGCTCTAAATGAGTTTGAATTGTGTTTTTTAAACTGAGTAACTTTCATACATGTTCCCAAGTATTGTGTTCCTGTAAATTCTTATTTAACTGACCAGCTTAGAAGATGGGAGGCCAGATGCAGCAGGAAAGAGTAAGTTACTAAAACTTAAAATGGATGTGAGGTTCAGCTACATAGCTGGGAACTGCAAGACCCTTGCAAAAGGAGAGGGGGTGGATGGGCAGTGTCCCCATCCTCTTTTGTGGAATGAAGACCTGAAAATCTATGAAAGAATTTTCTCTCTCAATAAAATAAAATAAAGTAAAATAAAATAAAATGAAACAACTACACTAAGATCTTAAAATGACTGATAGAAGGACTCCATTTCAGGTAATCTGGCTGGAGGTTTGTTTTATATTTTAAAACTCCTCAGTTTGTATGGTCATCTGCTTAGGATGATCTGAATCCATTTTATTCGCGAGCTCCCAGATTTGCACAAAACACACATCTGTATTCTTCGGGCACTTTTAGACCCCTTTTTCCAGGGCTGCCAGCATTCACGTGTTTGGCAGCCCTGCTACACATTCTTGCAACCCACTGAGGCCTCAAATATCCAGCTGGGCTGACACAGCAGTCTACCTGGACTTGAGCAAAACATTTGACACTGTCCCGCACGACATCCTTGTCTCTAAAGTGGAGAGACATGGAGTTGACGGATGGACCACTCGGTGGATAAGGAATTGGCTGGATGGTTGCACTCAAAGAGTTGCAGTCAACAGCTCGATGTCCAAGTGGAGACCAGTGACGAGTGGCGTTCCTCAGGGGTCAATATTGGGACCAGCGCTTGTTTAACATCTTTGTTGGCGACACAGACAGTGGGATCAAGTGCACCCTCAGCAAGTTTGCCAACGACACCAAGCTGTGTGGTGCGGTCAACACACTGGAGGGAAGGGATGACATCCAGAGGGACTTTGACAGGCTTGAGAGGTGGGCCCCCATGAAGTTCAGCAAGGCCAAGGGCAAGGTCCTGCACATGGGTCGGGAATCCAAAGCACAAATATAGGCTGGGCGGAGAATGGATTGAGAGCAGCCCTGAGGAGAAGGACTTGGGGGTATTGGTTGATGAGGAGCTGAACCTGAGCCAGAAATATTGTGCTTGCAGCCCAGAAAGCCAACCGAATCCTGGGCTGCATCACAAGAAGTGTGACCAGCAGGTTGAGGGAGGTGATTCTCCCCCTCTACTCTGCTCTCGTGAGACCCCACCTGCAGTACTGCATCCAGCTCTGTGGCCCTCAACATAAAGAGGACATGAACCTATTGGAGCAGGTCCAGATGGCCACAAATATTATCAGAGGGCTGGAGCATCTCTCCTATGAATAAACACTGAGAGAGTTGGGGTTGTTCAGCCTGGAGAAGAGAAGGCTCCAGGAAGACCTTATAGCAGCCTTCCAGCACCTGAAGGGGGACCACAAGAAAACTGGAGAGACACTTTTTACGAGGGCATGTAGTGAGAGGACAAGGGGCAATGGCTTTAAACTGAAAGAGGGTAGATTTAGATTAGATATAAGGAAGAAATTCTTCACTATGAGGGTGATGAGGCACTGGAACAGGTTGCCCAGAGAAGTTGTAGATGCCCCATCATTGGAAGTGTTCAAGGCCAGGTTGGATGGGGCTTTGAGCAACCTGGTCTAGTGGAAGGTATCCCTGCCCTTGGCAGTGGGGTTGGAACTAGATCATCGGGGTTGGAACTGATGATCTTTAAGATCCCTTCCAACCCAAACCATTCTATGATTCCGTGATTCTAATTGTTGCTCCTAGCAACAAGGGGCCACTGTGGCACCTGCTGAGCCAAGCAGCCTCTCTGCTTCTTGCCTCATTCTTTCCTGTGATGGAGCTGAACTCAAAACGTTCAGCCAGAAAAAGAAGGCAACAGCAGCATCAAGCCAAGAGAAGTGGCAGGAGAAGGAGGCAGAGACTTCAGATTCACCCAGTAGTACATTTACTCATCATCCACCCACGACGACACAGCTGCTGAGGTGCTTGCAGGTTGTCATAAGTCTTATCCCAAGTCTAGCTGGAAGCGGGTGTGCAGACAGAAGTGGAAGTCTGTGATTATATGTACATTTTGTATAATTCAGCTCATTCAATAATTACAGAGAGTGAAAGGAGATAGCTGCTTGTGGGTCATGCCAGATTTACTGTACCTTTATCTGAAGCTCCATGCCTGTAATGCCACCAGTCTGGCACATGACACATCATCAGCTCATCAGTACTAACCCAGGCTTTGTGAAACACAGACTCTTATACAATTAACCTTACATCTACCCAGCAAGAAAGGCCAAAAGAACCTGGGAAGTAACCAATGTAAGATTTTTGTTGAGAGAAAGGAGATAAAGGATGGGAGTCAAGAGCTCCTAAGTATGGGTTCTGTCTCTGCCATTAACTAACTGGGGGCTCAAATCAACCAGTTCATCTGCCTTAATAGTCAGGCAAGAAAAACTACAGCCTTTCTATCACAAACTTGTATTTTTATTATTTAAACTGTCTAGACTATAACAAACTTTTCTGAGAAAAGTTTCTTGATGATCCACTTGGGGTTAACTCATTTATGTCACCATAAATAAGAAATAGTTAAAAAGCAGATGGCTGAGTGCCCCCTCACGACAGCAAGGTGTGGCATTAAGACAACATATGAGTTGCAGCTCCCAGCTGACTTGGCACCTTAATTTCTGCAAAGAGCATACAAATTTCACATACATTTTCAGAGAAAATTTTCAGGCTTCCAAAGTTGCCGTATTCTGCTTTCTTGATGTTTACTGAGAGCTTTTAATAATTTCTTAAATTTCTAATTAAAGGTTATTTGATATTTTTGGTGAAATGGTGCACAAATTGTTTTGAGGCTTCATTCCAGCATAGTTTCCAAAGAAATACTAGGTTTTTGTATTCTTAAGAAACCATTGCCACAAAAGAAAAAACACCCTGATAGCTTAGGAGAATATCTGATTGTACGTATTTATGTCCAAAGCCACGATAAAACGAATTCATATGGGAGATGGTCTTAAGAGGAGCTATTTTTCTGAAAAAGGACATAGTTCTTTGAGTAAGACTCTAAGAGTCTTACTCAGAGAGTAAGTCTATATTCTGGAAAATGCATCAGTCAGAACCAGTACGGTTATGAATACAGAAAGTCATGCCTTCAGGGTTGGAGGAAGTTACATTATCTTATGAGCTCCCTCATCTCTAGCCACTGATTAGCATGTTTTTTATTGGCAGGGATCTATCTATATGTCAGAGAGCTAGACATATTCTGAGCAGGTCAACTTCAAAATCCCATTTCTTCTCTCTTTTTTAGAGGAGTTAGGCTGCAGGCCTTATTGACTCCCATTAGTCCTGCTCTTTCTTTTCAGTGCTTCGCCGGCATTCATGATTCTTCCTCTACCTTTGTAGGAAAAATATGAAAAGAACTGTGAGACAAGCCATTATTTTCTTGACATGCAGGGTGATTCCTGAATAATGCCTGTGTCCACCTGTGATTGTGGTGCTGCTACCTCACTGTCAGTGCAAGTGGTTTTTGAATGTATGGCTTCAGACGATGACAGTTCAGGAAAAGACCAAAGTTCCTTGACATCTTAAAGACTAAGAAAACGGGAAAATACTCTGCTGATTAAAGAAAGCTTACTGGACCTAGCCCAGCCCATCTGGCTGATGCCAGCATTGAAGGGGAAGGCTAATTGCCTATACCATCTGTCTCTAAGGGGGCTAATTGCTGCCATCAGATATCAGCAGGGGTTCCTGCATTTCTTCAACTACCTATTTGGTAATCTCAGAAGCCAGAGAAAGAAAGAAGAGCTCCCATTTCTGAAAGGTATGGCATGCATAAGACTGATTTTGGAGAAATGACACCTAGTTCTCTGAGACTCTGAGGTACTGAGGACCACTGCCTTGAGCTCCTGACACAGGCTAGGACTTCAGTAGGTCTGAATTTAGGAATATATGCCACGTGGGAAGTATCATGAGGTAGTGAAAAATGTTTATTACATATAGATACATATATATATGTAGCCTAAAAATATCTTCTTGTATCCTATAATGTTCCCAAACATCTTTCTAGACAGAGTCATCACACTTAATCGTTATTTTCAGGGGAAGTATTTGCCCTTGCACAGAACAAGATCTTCCCTGAAAATCTATTCCCAGAGACTATCAAAAGCTTAGATGTCTCTCAAAATGTTTTCGTTCTGTTGCAATTGAGGTTTCAAATCCTTACCTTGCACTACCTTACATATCAAACTTCTCACCAAAAAAAGAGGTCTAAAGATGAATTCCAGAAAATAATTATTTGATCCAATTTAGACAGCAGCAAGAATAAGGATACAATGCAACTTTTGTCCTTCTGCAGGAAGAACTGATCTATAATGTTTGAGCACAATCGCTAGCAGAGAGGAGTGAAAACTGGATGTCCTCACTGACACAAGCTCCTGAAGATGCCAACCGCGCTGAATATGATAGGAAAATCTCCCCAGCAACTCTTCTGGAAGCCTTTATCCTAGGAGGGACTGCGAGAGACCAAGCAGTCAATGAAAACTGGACTCACATACGATGGTGGAAAGGCAGGATTTAATTGTTCTAGAAAAGTTTTTTAAAAGTCTATTTGGAAGAGCGCAGATTTGGACAGGCTGGAACCAGTTGCTATTATAACATACAAAGTGAGGAAGTGAATATTGCAAAACAAGCAAAACTACTTAGTCAGGCTGAACAGAAGAATTATTATTTCCTAGGCAGGCCTCGAGGTGTAATGGCCACTTAACATACTGCCAGAGAGGAAGCAGAGTTTTGAATTCAAACTCTGTGCCCTGCTGCTGGGGAAGGCAAGACAGGGCAGGGCTGTGGAAACACTGGAAGGATTATAGCTCACCTTCACCTCCTGCAACAAGCTCTAATTAACATGAGGATCAGTATGGACAGGATTCAAGGGAAACCATTAACAGCCCACAAGAGACTTGTGAGGAACCGATTCTGTTACTTAATCTACAAATAATGGTAGGAATTTAGACTGGGACATTGATATAGGTCTCAGAAGAAGATTCTTCCCTGATTATTTCAGATGAGGAATGCAGTGAATATTACTAGTTGTCTGAGAAACAAGGTAAGGAGCCTATCACATGAAGACTATTACCTCAAAGGAAAAAAATCTCAGGACATTACCTAGAGTTTTCCTCATATCAGGTTCAGGACAAGACAAAAGATACTTTGCTCAGATATCTCAAGCGACTGTGAGTCACTGTCATCTGCATGTTCCCGAAAAGCCCATGTTGGGACCTTCAGACAGCACGGCACAGGCAGGCAAATAACTTGCAGGGATGACAGAATTTTTCATTTTCAAAAGTAAGCTATCCATAATTAAAATCAGAGAATACTAGCTGAAAACATTATTGGAAAAGTACTTACTACTAGCATTTCGTATCCTGCTCTCTTCAAGAATCAGAGAATGTTAAATGTTAAAAGAGAATGTTAAATGCTGAAGAAAACCCAGGTGACTTTAGGAATTATCTAAAAAAAGTCCTTGTTTTCCATTGTGAAAGGTTCCCATGAAGTGTTTTAAAACATAATTGTACTTGTAGGAACAATTACAGCTTTGTACTGCAAGGGGAGCTGTTGGCACATAATACTATGATTGTGCATTAGATCATCCACTAGCTTCTGTAATATCCACTTCCAGCTATAAGGAGTCATGTTTCAACACCTCCGATTCCCTGATGCTGACAAGCTAAACAACTTGTTTTGTCTCTGGGAGCTCTTCTCTGGTGATTAACTGCTTATGGTGAATACTAATTATATGAAAGTAGAGTACAGTAGAAATAGTGTCCTACTTCCTCTACCTGCAGCATCTCCATCCTCTTCTGTAGAGACAGTGCACTAGTAATTCAGCTAAAACCAAGAAGATGACATTTTTCAGGACCACAAATAGGTTAATCTGTCTCTTACAGCAAAACTTTATCTTCCTGTCTGCACAATAAGTTTAAATGCAAAATACGGCACATTTGTAAATGTCTGTAATAATTCTAGAAATAAATTTGCAGCAGGATGTGTGCAAATGAGTTCTGTTGGTGGTAAAGGCAGAGCAATGTCCCCAATTCCCCATGTCCCAGTTTGAAAATTTACCCCAAATTATCCATTCCTGAAACTGCACCTCAGACTAAAATCTTTCCACCAGGGAGTCTATGAGAATTTGTTCTTCAATTTTAAATCTAAAGTGCCTTTTAAAACGCTAACACTGCAAAATTAGAAACCATTAAACAATATAAGGCAGAGAGTGATTAAATCTACCAAACACATTCAAAGCAGCTTAAGCTACTTTTTAATTAAAAACGAAAAGATATCACTGGCAACATTCAGACATCTTTATCTAGATAAAGTTAGGAGATTATTCAAAACACAAAAGATGCTGATGCTACCATACAGGAGTTTGAATGAAATGACTTGAAGATTTCAGTCCCTCCACCCTAGGTACACAGTCTTCGGGCAGAGAGGAACAGAGCACAGCCAGTGCTGCAGTGTGATCACTCTATGTTTGCTGATTAAATAAGTGACACTAACAGCGGCCTTGGAGGGAGGCTGTGTGTTCCTCCTTCCTTCCTGACAGGATGGTGAGTGAAATCACAGTGGCTATAGCAGTTGAGTAATGGGTAACAAGATGTACATATCAGGGAGGAAAGAAGATCAGTTAGTGTTTCAAGAGCCAGTTTTAATAGATAGAAAAAGGCAATACCTTATTGGTATTATTTTATTTTTTTAAGCAGCAAATTTAAATAGAAAACAGTGTTTAAAACACTTTTAAAGGCACATTTAGACCCCAGCCTTGTGGCTTGAATTCAGGCTCCAAAGAAACAGAGACAGTTCTGCTGAAGCACTGTAATTATGTCCACTTATTTTGCAGCCAAATTCAAACCTGCAGCTTTAAGTTTTTGTATTCCTTTAACGAAAAGAACAAGAAAAATGACCAGCAGTTTTAGTCAACCATAGGCAAGATGCCAGGAGCCAAAGATCAGCCTCCTTCAGGCTGAGATGATATCATCTACTCCAAGGTCCTGAAGCTCTTTGTCGGGAGTATTACAAAATTTACTGGTGAGCAGCCCCATCTCTTATTTTCTTACTACTTGTGATCATTACTCTGTTCCTCAATTTAATATAAAATCTATGTTTTTAACATCTTGCATCCAACATATTTTTATTCTTCCCTTTGTCTAATAGAAGATTGGTCTTACCTAAAGAGCATGCCCTAAAATAAAGCACAGGTACTTGGTAGCTGCTGGAGTACAAGACATGATATTCATAGCGAATCACTTCTTCTGTTGCACAAATTCCAGCTACTTGAGAATCATCCAAAGACTCCTAAAACAACAAACATGAACACAGTAATACATCAACTTTTGTATTTGTATCAAGGGAAAAGTAATTACTACTATTGTAATAAATTCAATAAATATACAGAACAGAAATAATGGCAATCACCCCTTTCACAGCATTACTCATTTGAAATCCCAAAGGAATTTTTCACTACTAGCAAGGAAAGGACAAAAGTCCAAAACCTACAAAGACATCTTACAGACTTACTTCCGCAATCTGTGAACTATGTGTAAGCATTTGCAGAGTTGAGGTCTTTCTAAATGCAGGCTGCTTTTATAAGCAAAAGACACAAGCTCTCTAAAATCTTTATGGCACAATAACTGTTACAATAAGGTGACTACAGCTGCATATCTCCTCATTACCTTTAGTACAGACCATTTTAAAAGTGTACCCTTAAATAATCTGTTTTTGCTTGCCAAAAGACAAATCAAATGTATCCATGAAAAATTCTCTGTTCTACTTTCTTTAAAGGCTTTTTGCCAGGGGTTGTTTTTGCAAATAATACTTCTAAAACTGAGACAATTTTTTCCTGTTAATGTATATTTCAGGTGTAAAGTAAGTAAAGTTTATTGTAGATTTGAAATAAACCAGAAGAGATGGAACTTACTGCATTGAGATATACCCCAGTTGCAGCATAAATTTCCTAACATTTCAAATTAATATTCAAACAGTGCTAAGCACCCAGTTGTTTTGACTTTTCTAAAAATTGTCGATACTCAACCTCTCTGAAAATTGAACCATTAAATTAATAATGCCATTAAGATTAAATGTTAGAACAAACTTTCCAAGAAGACACTATGGGTGTGGACTTGTTCGGTTTTCAAACCCCCAAATTTACGTGCATGAACTAAGCAACCATAATGCCCCACAGGTTGGGTGTGCATTTCATAACTTGACTATTGCCAAGCAACTGTGAATATTGGCTTACTGTCTCTGTCCAAGCAAAATAAAAAAGACTGAACTGAAAGGAAGAACCAGCATCCTTTGAACAACATGCTGGTTTAACACACGAGAAATTTAAAGCTATTTTGCATTTTTCTTTCATATCCTTAACTCAACTCAGCCATGATTCAATCTATGAAGAAATATAAGAACTGATAAACTATAACAGTAATGACATGCAAAATACTTTTGAATTTTTTTGATAGCCCACATAAAAGTGATTTTCCCCAAATTTAGTGTATTAGATAGTCAGATGCGGCTGAGGCACATGGATAGAAGATCACAAATGGAGAGCCCAGTACTCCAAGGTACTGTAAATATATTTTTGGACATTAAATGAGAAAATTACAGATGCTTAAAGAACAGAAGGTTTCTGGGAAATTCTGGACAGCTGTAGGAATGGTTGATTTTAGCTTATCGGGAAACAGATATCTAAAGCACTGAAAGGGAACATTAAAGAAAGTGCTCTCTGTGTTAATTTACTTTTAAAAACTGTATGTGAAGGGATACTAAAGACAACATGCCAGAAGGGACAATGATGATTACTGTATCTGAATTCAGGGGCCAGGTAAAGTTAGGTATGCTATGCCCCGTTCCCGTGTAAATGTGTAACAGACTAAGAAGGCAAGTTCTTTTCCTCCTCACATGTCACACCCTCTGTTCAGATGTGAAATACAGATTAAAAAAAAAAATCTCGAGGAAAATAGAAATTTCTTCTCTATAGTAAGCTGAACTTTCTTTAAAATGGATCCATTTTCAATGCTTTAATGAGAATAGTAAAAGAAAGAACAGCAGCAGCATGTGATAAAAGAAAACAAAAAACAACTACAGACTGGCTTTCAAGTTTGTAGCGGTGGGAAAGAGGAAGAGTCCATATTCAGAACTGAACCCACATTGAAACTGACCATTAAAAATTTCGGATTGAACCAAAATTAATTGACAATTAAAATTTCGGATCAACCTCCTGGAATCAAAATCATACTGCTTTACAGACATTAATGTTTCATCAGATATTATGGCCTTGCCTATTGCTTAGTCACTAGTTTACCCTGCCTTAAAAAAATACTTCTCCTGGAAATGGCAAGACTACCTGTTCATGGCAAGACTACTGTTCATGTATTAAACACTATTATTCTAGAAAAAAGCTGTATATATACACATAATTCTCTCTCCTGCTTTCTGTATATAAGGGTAAAATGACTGTATACCCTCACATAAATACTGATACCTAATTTGTGACAATTTTAGACTGAATGATAAAGAAGCCATATTCTTTATTACCTGCAAATACTTAGGAAAAGTAGTAAGTTAATACTCACTCAAAAATGGAATTCTCAAACCTGTATGCCTCTAGGGAAAACATGCTTTATAAAAACCCTACTTACTATCTCAGAAAGTTATAAATTAAGTTAGGAACAACTTCATCATTAAGAATTCAACCTACTGGGTTAGCACAGATTTCAGCCAGTAAGCAACTTCTATCTTCATTTTCTGGATTAGGAAAAGGAAAGCAAAGGAGAGACTTTCTAATTTCATTATTCCTTGAGATGGCCACGGAGAAATCTTAAGAATTTCTGCCATTACCAGACAGATATTAGACAGTGAGGTACTTCCCAAAACATCCTATTACTTCCAGAGAAAGGTGATTTTATCCAAAAGTGTCCTTCCCAGAAGATGTACATAGCTCGATGGCAGGAGAGGCAGCAGAGAAGGGAAGAAGGCAGCTTTGATGCTTTACTCTTTTGGAGAGCAGAGTATTTTTTGACACATTTATTTTGCATTATCCTGAATTTTTTTGACTGATAGTTTACGCAGTTTCTGAAATCAAGCATTCAGCTGAATGCAAAGCTCAGAGAAGCTTTGAAACTGACATTCTTCTGCTCTGTAACAAGACAGACTTAGGTCTACTACAAAGTTTCTATACTTACTCAAAATAAGTTTCTGATACTCAGATCTCTTTTTCTGCTGTTTCTAGTGACAAGTGGGCGCATTGTATTTGTGATCTGCATACAAAGGCAGATGGCTGAATCCTTCTTAGGGCTATGTCTAATCCCCTTTCCTTTCGGTAAACAGCAGTTTCAAGACTTTTTACATAAAAAGATACAGCATTGATGTGTAATCCTGTACTTTACAGTCTCTGTAAGTACAACGCACAGTATTTATGCAGGGAAAGTACATTTTGGAGCCTAAAAGTTTTGATGGTATCTCTTTAGCTGATGAGATGAACTTTGCTGATGAGATGAATAAAATGAGTACAGTCATTTTAGGCAACATTTGGAACATCTGAAAACCTACGCATGGCTGAATAAAGCCATGGAGCCTCAGAGAGTTTTATATCAGCCCAAAAGAAGAGATTTATTTCTCACTCTTTAACCAACTACTGATAAAACCATAATATAAAACACAGGTGTAACTTATTAAAAAAAAACCCACAGAATTTTATTTTTATGTATTTCATATACTAGCCTATTTAAATTTTTTCTTCAAGTAATTGTTCTACTTTCCTTTTTTATGTGTACTGTTGTTCAATCTCTTTTTGAGCTAATGCTAGATTTTAGTTATTGTAATAGACAATATCGAAATAAATTTTAACTTCGGAAGATATCGTAACTGCTGCAAAAAATTCATACATGTACACACATCACAAAACAAATTTGTAATTTTGCTGAGATCTTGTAAAGACAAAATAAACATACCTGCATTAAAAAAAATTAAAACGTTAACAAAAAAGGGGTTTTGACCAAATTGCAATCATTAAAAATGCTATGAAGTAATTTCATTTCTCAATTTTTTGTTTCTGCTTTGCAAATTTGCTTGCATACTTGCCATGTTTCAAGTCAAAACTGTGAATTCAGACTGTTTCTGAAGCAAATTGGGAAGTTGTCATCAGGAAGCATCTGCTCCTCTATTGCTTTCACGTAAAATCATTCTCGTGCTATCATAAAGGACTATTGAGCAGATGTTTAAAAGCAATGTATGTATTAGAAAAAAGATAAGCAGCAAATACCTAATTAATTATATTAGTTCCATCATAAATGAATTATCACTAAATTTAATTGACACAAAATTGTTCTCAACCTTTAAGGATCCCCTAAACAAATTAAGTTGATTTGTTCCTTTTAAAATGCTAAATTATTTAAATCAATAGATAAGAAATGTCATTCTGAAGGCAAAATAATGTATTTGTACTATTTTTATTCCTCCTGATGAAGAAGGCAAGTTAAAAGCCCCTGGTAACAAGTTAATTTGACAGGAGGAGAGAGTTAATAGCGTGTTTTGATACTCTTTAGTAGCAACTATGCTCCGCACACTGAAAAGCAGCAGGAAGGTATGGGTTAAGGCAGGTCACCTTTGGAGGAAGGACTCCAAAGGACAGGGAAGGGCGAGGGAAGTGACAGACAGGGTAAACTGAGAAGGTGACAGAATTACCTGATAAAAAAGGGATTTTTCTCTGCTAACACCAAACATTTCCCTCTCTCCACCTCACCCGCAGAGGCCGGCTAAGCCAGCCTTCCTCGCTCAGCCCAAATTCCCTTTGAAATGCAGAAGCAGGCCCTAATGCCCTTTTTTGGGGAAAAGCTAAGAGAAGTGGTTTAAAGAACAGCAGGCACATTTCTCCTGGATCTCAAGTCACTGCTGCCTTTCTCCCAATTCCCATGTTCCTCATCTCTTTTTTCTCGCTGTCTTGACCTCTATTTCCTCCTGCTGCAGGCCAGCCTCCTGGGAAATTCTCCTGCAGGAGCATGGCAGGATTGGGCTGCAAGCAGGAAAGGGAGGAAGAGGTGACGCAGGCACAGTTACTGGTACTGCTGGTTTCGTTGTGACGGGGGGGAAAAGGAGATGCAATCCAGATTAGTAAGCAAATCTGATTTCATTGCTTGGAATACATTTACACTTAATTTCATTTCAGCCTCTAAAGTTGAAAACAAATGTGTAACTGTTTCTCCAGCACAGCATTTCTCTTTCTTCAGAGATGACTGTGAGCTACCGTGTGAAACAGAAGAGCTTTCAGGGAGCAGCTCCCCTCCCCGTTCAACACTTTC